GCCAACAAGCGTGATTTTGGCGTTTACGTACGTATAGCGTCCGTAATGGGCTTCACGTGGGTTTTTGGCTTCGCTGCACCCTTCGGATGGATTTTCCTTTGGTACGTGTATGTGATCCTGAGTTCTTTGCAAGGGGTTTACATCGCCATTGCCTTTGCTCTCAATAAGCGAGCACGAAATCTCTATATCAAGCTCTTATGCAAGACAAAGGTATTGGCTAGCAGGGATTCGTATTCTGTTGGTGGAAAGGATAGGCCAAAGGACAGAACAAAGGACAGACCAATGGCATCATTGCAAAAAWTTAAAACACTAAACGTATCTAACTTATAGAAAAATCGATGAGCTAGAAATGGCAAAAAAATAAGTAAGGCCAGAGAAACAAGGCCGAAGTAAAATAATTTCATTATAAATTGAAAAGAAATACTAGGTTAACGACGCCAATTCGGTCAAGAAATGTACACAAATTAAATTTCCAGTTTCTTGAGTAATGCGGTCTCCTTTTTAATCCAAAGTAATTAAAAGGTGACTGTAATTATCAAGGAAGTCAACACATACACGTGTCTTAATGCAAAGATGAACGCTGGATTATCGTAATCCTGTCAGTCTTGGACACACTAATGTGTCATGTTCTATTTAATGAAGGTAATGACACTTTAAGCAATGATAATGATAACTTTATGATAGCTTTATAATGGTGATAGTAGTAATGATTATTATTTATCATATAATTATCTATGAAATACCTATATTTCTCCATTTCGTAAACTTGATATTTTCGTGAAAATAGTGAAATTTAATGTGACAGCTCGGAGTGACAAGTACTTAGAGCTTTCATAGTAGTGGCTTTTCTCACTCCAGCAGGTAAATTGTTCCAGAGAAAGCCACCAAGGTTTTCTTAGCGTAATTTTTCTCACCGCAGTGGCAGGGCAACTTTACGTTCTATATTCCTTAGGTTATTTTTTTTTTATTTTGTTACGATTAGTGAATTTGAAGTCACACCACATAGTACTTTTGGCGTTTGTTTTCCTAAGAAATGACAATTAAACTAAAAATATTTTATAAATTTATAAAAGTACAGATACAAATATCAACAAATGAAGACAATGTAAACCTCACTAAGATACAATGATTTTTCAATTGTAGTTTTGTGATATTCAAATAAATGGTAATTTAGAGGGATATGGAAATAGCATTTCGTGCTGACTTTCCAAAAGGGCAGGTGATCAAGGTAATTAAATGAGCTTTAAAGACCTCATGAAAACTGTTCGTCAGTTTTCTCTCCAGAGAGCTAACCATGTTGGTGTCCACGTTTTTGTGGACGCTTTTGCGAGCAGCTTTATGGAAAGACACTGAAAGAAGAGTTTCATATTTTCCTGTTAGGAACAGCTCCTCACATGATGGCTTTGGTATGAAAAGTAAGTAGGTCATACATTTGTTCTTTTCTAATAGTGCCACAGTTAGTTTGCTTTTCTTTTCATTGGAATATGCATTATATACAAATCTTTTTTAGTTAGCGAAATGTCTGAAAAAGCTGCCGATATGCAAATCGTATTTTTCCCTTAAAACAGCGACCTTCTGTGTTCATATGGGTATATTCGACTCTATAATTTTGACTTCTTTTTTAAGCAATTTAGGTTAAAACTAAGCAACATATGAAGCAACCATTTGTAATTTAACAAATGTGTTGTTTTTCCTAAAATTCGATTTTTCGAAACAGTTCAGGTGTTCTCTGTATTTCGTTGAAAATTTTGAGATATATRATTTGTTCGTGAAACGTTTTATATATCATTAAACTCGTTGGACGAGCAAAAGTACTTTTCTTCAAAATAATAAAAAAAGAAAGATAACATTTCGAGTTTTTTTTGGGAAAAACAGGTGTTATATTATATTGSTTGCCTTAGGTGTTAGCCACGGTTTAGCGCGTGTAATTACCAACAAAAAGCACCGATGCATCTTTCAAAATTGTCAGTCATGAGGGATATTCACGCGATCAAATTGCAAATTGCTCAGTAATTCAGGTTGTTTTATTAAAATTAACAATTCATCATAACGCCATYGTAGACGTAAACTTTCTAGAGGCACGACGCCCAGTACCGCATATATTGACAGCTGTTAGTTGGGGGTATGGTAACCCCCTCCCCCCTCCGATGAACCCAAACGATCACCTATCAGCCCCTCCACGCCATGTGATATTTTCAAATAAAAGTCAGGCATTTAAACTTCTAGTTGGTCCAGTACTTTGTATTTATTTAGAATACATCATTAMATGTCTTCATTATAGATGCGAGTCTGAATCCTACCATACAAAGAGGAAATACTGACACTATCATATTGAGCAAGTGGATAAWCGATTTGATAAAATCCGGTCCTCAACAAAACAACAGTACAACAAGTAAGAAAGCCAGAACTTGTTTTAAGAGGAGAACGATCTAGWGGGTGGAATTTGGCGAGGGTAAAGACTSTTCACCTTGTATGATAACTTATCTTSATGATCCGCGATSGTGCGACCTCCAATCCGAAATTATTTGTTGCATAAGCAATTTTTATGCGGCAACTGTTTGTTACAAATTTTATTTGCCCTTATACATAATAGGCAAATATTTGTTGTCAGTTTTTGTCATAAGTGATTTTGTACATCGGATATAGATTGAAAACAAAATTTTGCAACTGAGATATCTACAACTATTCCAGAGACTTTCTCTAACTCTCAACTCCTCTAATAATAACGAAACCAATTTATTTGTCCATCCTTTTGTTAAAATCGCCATTTTATATCGGAAAATGATGAAGGCTAGAGTCTACTACCCCGTCACAATAAGATAATTGCCACATTTTACTTTGCGTTCCTCACAATCTCGAGCCCAGAGACATCACAGC